ACATCATCTTAACGTTCGAAAAAGTGTGGATTATTTTATTTTACAATATGAATACTTTTTTTTTCCGAATTAAATAAGGTTTTATATTCCACTGCGTGTACACTATGTTCATTAAAAATCTATTACATATTTGCATAAATTGCAGAAAGCTACTAAATCGCTTAAAATATCTTTGTCAACAACCTAACAGAATATTTTACCTACACGCTCTTGTTATGGAGTAAATAATCAGAGATTAAAGAAGTGTACTTCATTACCCATAACAAAATTCATGACATATAAATTCCATACGTTTTCTCGATAGAAACTAAGCAAGCTTATAGATGATAATAGCATTCGATCTACCTGTTATTAGGTCTAGAAAACCTGAATTACGCTCGGCCGATACACCGGTGAATAGATTGCATTAATCCTACCGGTAGCCGCGTACAAAAACTAATTACTATTTTAATAATCTTTTTGTTTGAGATCGCAATTACGTATGCTATTCGTAATTTATTGTGGATGACTTTATTAAATGTGTAGACAGACATGAGGGCACGCCTATGAATTTATATAACTAGACAATGGAAGCAATTCTGTTGCATAAAACAGATTATAATTTAGATTCAGTCCTAACAAATTTCGTTTAAAAAATAACTAAGGTAACAGAAGAAAACATATTATATTAATGTATAATATTTAGAAAGGCAAAGTCAAAATAAGTTCATTCAAATAAACATCAGTTCAGGGCGTCTTTTGACTAATAAGAGGAACGCGTAAGAATATTACCAACTTCAATAGAAGTAACGGCATTCGCAAAATGCATGTCAATATTTCTTTATGTTGTTATTATTTTGGATCAGGATCAATTGTCATATATATGAAGTAGAATTTAGAAGAAATCACGTCTCAAATCGTAGGAATATCTTAAGTCCAAGCATTCTTACTGTTATATAATCAGATCCCTATTTTAAGCTTTTTAATAATAGATTTCATGTGACCGTGGCATAACTTTAAAACAAATCCAAATTTTTACGTTACATTAATACTGAAATAATTAATTCATTATTAATGTAGCGAAAGCTGTACCTCTAGTAAAAGTTTTTATAGCTTTCTAAAACCAATTACGCTACCATACATTTCACAGTAGCGCCTCTAGCGGAAACCAATGAATTAAGAACGACACTACAATTCAAATTAGTTTTAACCGATGACGTTTTACAGGACACGTTATAAACGTATTTTATTGCGTTTTAAACGGCGTAAACTTTATTGTGGTAGCATAACATTATAATACAAACACAATATACAAACGGCGCGAAGAAATCAAATATAGTTATCTTATTAATAGAATCATACAGCATACCTCTTGTTATAACGAGATAAACATACTCGCATAGCTTTACGCGTCAACTGCTGCATCCTCAAAGAACACGATGCACGAATAAATGGCCGCGTTCAATGTCTATTTATTATTTTTATTAAAATAAAAAGGCTCAAAACGTTCTTTACAAATTCAATGCATTAAGTGACGTAACATGGTTCTACGGTAGCGAAAAACGTATGACGTCTAGACAATCTTTGTTATTTGTGCATTTATGTTTATAGCTGCTATAATAAAAGTTGTAACATTTCATATAACTAATTTAATGCAATATGTATTTTAACATTATTTTTTTTATAGTTTTATTTATCATACTTATTTCATGTTTTCAAACCGTAATATTTTCCAAATTAGGTCATAAAATTTATTTTGTTAAATATGTATATACAATACAAACCTATATTTTCACCTGTAGAACACAACCCTATTCAATTACCTATTTAGTTTTCGAGTGGTCAATATGAGAAGTTTGCGTCCAATATGTTGTGATAGCAACGTTATTTACGTGAACTCTTCGCAAGTTTTTTATCTTTAAATAATCAGATTTTTGTGACGTCTTCGCGGCAAATTACGCAAGTTGAAATTAGAGAAAACGGCAGAAAATGTTGAGGCAGCAAGAAATATCTCGGACACCCATTTTGCTCAAAGATGCCTTTTAGTATCTGAGGAGCTCAGACTGGATGGCGGACAGCAAAGTTCGCAAAAATTCTCACTGGAAATAAAAGTAGCCAGTAACTACATTTACAATGTTTATTTAAATTAAGTTATTAATTTAAAGATAAATATCAATATAGCATTGTATGTTGATTGTAAGGTAATTTGCGCTTTACTTTTTTATACCAATGGGGATTAAAAAAAGGAGATCGAGCATTTGTGGACTATGAGAAGGCCTTTGACTCGATTGAGATCTGGTCCGTTCTGGAGTCCCTGCAGCGATGCCAAGTCGATTGGTAATACATCCAAGTGATAAGATGTATTTATGAGGCCGCCACCATGACCGTCCAAGTACAGAATCAGCAGACAAGTCCTATACCGTTGCATCGAGGAGTGAGACAAGGAGACGTTATGTCTCCGAAATTGTTTACTAATGCAATGGAGGATATAGATACCAGCGTTAAGTAAAGTATTTGAGAAAATGATTTACAATCAACTGCTTGCACACTTTTCATTAAATAAATTACTTCACCAAAATCAGTTTGGCTTTAGCAGAGGTAAATGTACAACAGACGCTGGAATTGTACTTCTGAGGCATATCTATGATGCTTGGGAGAATAAACAAGATGCTATTGGCAATTTTTTGTGATCTATCAAAAGCATTCGACTGCGTTTGTCATGAAACACTGTTGGGGAAATTAGAACATTATGGTGTGACGAAAAATTCACTTCATCTAATAAGATCATATCTTTCTGCTAGAATTCAAAAGGTAGTAATCAATGAAGCGAAGTCTGCAGGGGCACCAGTTACTATGGGCGTACCTCAGGGATCGATATTAGGACCATTGCTTTTTCTAATTTATATAAATGATCTTCCTCACTTTACGAAGAATTTGTGCGAGACAGTATTATTTGCAGATGACACCTCTTTACTGTTTAAAGTTGAGAGGGCTAATGATTGTTTTGACGATGTAAATAATGCTCTCGACAATGTTCTACAGTGGTTTGATAATAATAATTTAAAGCTCAATTCAAATAAAACGAAATGCATAAAGTTTGCATTACCTAATGTGAGGCATGTCAGTACACTTATAAATGTAAATAGTGAAAAAGTTGAGTTAGTAGAATCGACAAAGTTCCTTGGTATTACACTAGATTCCCGACTGCAATGGGATCCTCATATTGATAGCTTGTCAAGTAGACTGAGTTCTGCAGCTTTTGCTGTTCAGAAAATTAGACTCTTGACAAATGTTGAAACGGCAAGATTGGTATATTTTAGTTATTTTCATAGTGTAATGACGTATGGTATATTGTTATGGGGTTCTGCGGCTAGCATTCAGGATGTTTTTATTTTACAAAAGAGAGCTGTCCGTGCTATATATAATTTACGGTCTAGGGAATCTCTCAGAGAACTATTTAAAGAAATAAATATTCTGACTGTTGCCTCTCAATACATCTATGAGAATATTATGTACACAAGAAAACATTACGATTCCTTCACAAAAAAAAGTAGTGTTCATAATCTTAACACAAGAAATAAAGATAAACTTGCCGTTCCAAGCTTCAGACTTCAAAAAACCAGAGGATCATTTCTGGGTAAATGTATTGCTATGTTCAATAAAGTTCCACAAAATGTAATTGTAATTAAACCCATAAATAAATTTCAAATTCATGTAAAGAATATACTTATGAGTAAAGGCTATTATAAAGTTGATGATTACTTTAAGGATCGCAATGCATGGAATTAATAGCCTTCGCTTTGTTCTATAAAGACTAATTATATGTTCAACTTATGTCCTACAGACTTTGAAAGTTATACAACTTTCGTAAGTAGTAAATACTTACTATTGTGATAAATTGATAATACATATTATTTTGGTAATGACATGATTTATGTAAATGTCATTACTTATGATAAAAAGCTGATAAGTTTCTTTCGCTTGTTCTTCTTGTCAGCTAAAAGACGTCCTGAACAAGTGGTAGGGGAAAAAAGTCTTTTTTGGACGATTCAAAAGTGCTTGTAACAGCCTACTTGAATAAAGATATTTTCATTTCATTTCATTTTCATTTCATTTCATTTCATTTCATATGTTTAAGACGCTGAACTGGAAAGGACGTGGCATCAACATCAATGGCGAGTACATCTCTCACTTGAGATTTGCTGACGACATCGTCATCATGGCAGAAAATCTGCAGGACCTACAACAGATGCTGAATGACCTGGCTGACTCTTCTATGCGCATCGGCCTACGGATGAACTTGGATAAAACCAAGGTCATGTTCAACGAACACGTACTACCGGAACCGATTGCAGTATGCGGTGCCGTTCTCGAAATTGTTCCAAAATATGTATACCTCGGGCAAACATTGCAGTTAGGTAGAAACAACTTCGAGAGCGAGGTAAATAGAAGAGTTCGGCTAGGTTGGGCAGCGTTTGGGAAACTACGTCAGGTCTTCACATCGTCGATCCCGCAGTGCCTAAAGACGAAAGTCTTTAATCAGTGCGTCCTACCCGTTATGACATACGGAGCCGAAACGTGGACACTGACGGCACGGCTGGTCCACAAGTTGAAGGTCGCTCAGCGGGCTATGGAAAGGGCTATGCTCGGCGTTTCTTTGCGGGATCGAATCAAAAATGAGGTGATCCGGCAGAGAACCAAGGTTATCGACATAGCCCACCGGATTAGCAAGCTGAAGTGGCAGTGGGCTGGCCATATTAGCCGCAGAACCGATAACCGTTGGGGTAAACGAGTTCTTGAGTGGAGACCGCGTCTCGGCAAACGTAGTGTAGGACGTCCTCAGGCGCGGTGGAGCGATGATTTGCGCAAGATGGCTGGCAGGAGCTGGATGCGAACAGCCGAAAATCAAAGTAGATGGCGTGCAATTGGGGAGGCCTATGTCCAGCAGTGGACGAATATGGGCTGATGATGATGATGATGATGATGAGATCGAGCTTGCCACTAATATTTCCCGGGAACGAGGAAGGGAATGAGTACCAGTAGATACAGTCAAGTTACAAAAGCGCTAAATCAACACATAACAAATTAATTTATAAATTTTCCCAATACTAGGCAAGCCAGGGAAGAAATAAAACAAAGGTTAGTAATTTTTTTATAGCAATGCTATAGTGTTAAATGCTTAAAAAATCCATTTTGGCCCCGACACTCTGAGATGGGAGTCGAACCCATGACCTTTCGCAAACCAGGCGACTGTTCTAAGCACGGAGCTACCCAGGACCTAACAAGACTGATGAATTTTTCGAAAACCAACTACTCGTTTCATTTAATTTTTTCCTATTTAAATTTCTACATTTCATATGGAATGCCTGGAGTGGTAGAATATATAGATAGTTGCCATTTTAGGATTTTCAAACCAAAAGAGGAGGAACACCTTTTTTATTACGGGAAGCATAAAAAAGGATCATTGAATATTCAAATAGTAAGGAATCTTCTCCAATACATTGAAAATAATGTTGTACTTGAAACTTGTTGTCGTATTTTGAGCATGAGTGCGAAGTTTGGCGGTGCTACATATTCATTTCCTCAAAATATTTCACCTCTTATAGTGAAAAATTTGCAAGAGCTTTCTGAAGCTTTATGTTTCACTATGTTTAAGCACAAAGGGTTTACATCACTCTGTATTCGCTGCAGAAATTTCTCCACTGCCGTCATGTGTTGGAACACCTGGCGGCAGTGGAGAAATTTAAAGTACTAGACTCAGAAGTTTGTGTGAAAAAGAGCTCCGAAAAAAGTTTCGTTATGGTTGAAAGTTAATATATTACTTAATTATTAGTAGTTCATAAAAAAACACTAAAGTCCGATTTCATTTAATAAAACAAACATATTCAGCAATCGCTGTGAGTGTAGTTAGCGCCGCCACTATCGGGTTTTCCAGCGCCTGAAATTCTTACTGGAGGTTGATGATGTGCTCGGACGTTACAGTACCTACTGTATATGTTGCCCGGTGGTCTTGGTCTTTCAATACTGGAATTATTCGTGCATTGTTCCTAGAAAATAATTAATTAATTATTGTCAACAGGCGATTCTAGATACCGCGTCTTAGTCGAGAGTACTTTCGGCCGTCTTAAAAAAAATGGTAGTGCATTACAAGCCAGATAAATGTGCTCAAGTTGGAATGGCACATTGTGTATTAGTATGTGTATTAATAACTATAAAAGAAACTATTAAAGATACAGTAAACTGTAATCGTTTTCGTTTTAACGAAAACTAAGCTATAGTTTTTAAAGACAAACTCGTACTAGAGATACTGGACGCTCTGTTTTGGAATCGTAAGCAATTAGTAGACAACCACGGATTTTAATTTTGCGGGTGAATAACATAAGTACGGTTATTTTTTGATTTTCAAACGTTTTATTTCGACAACTGTGATTCCAGTTAATGTAATTGCAAACATTTTATATTTCACTGATTATGATTCATTGTCATGAGTATATATATATATATTGCAATTACTTAATAGGTTGGTGAAAAAGTTTCTTCGCATTTTAAATAAAAACTCAAAACATTTTTAATAAAGTTTATTTTAATTTAAATAAAGTATGTAGGTACCATTTTGTTCGATAAGTTTTTACCACCGTGAAGTAGGGACATGATCTCATTGCAATAGAAATGTTAGGGCTTCTGATAAAAAAACAACGACTAGTGGTTTTGGCAGTCCTCGCGTAATATTAATCTGACACTGCTTAAAGAATTCCAAAAAGAGCGAAACAGGTGGGAATTTGAAGGTGTAAGGTCAGGAATAGTCCTGACCTTGGTGGTAATGCATCCGCCATCTATATTGCTTCTAGCCAAACTCTCTTATTTTTTGCTGAGTGGAAAAAACGTACGTGAGGTCTATCATTATCACGATGAAACACCACACCTCTTATATTGATTAACTCTCCCACCTTCTTGCTTTAATCTCTTCTCATGATATGCAATAGAGTATAGAATCGATGATCCTGCCTGGTGGTAACAGCTCATAATAAATTATGCCATTCTAAGCCCACCATACACACAGCATCACTTTGTTGCGAGTTAACCCGGGTTTCGCCATAGTTTGTGAAGCCAGACCGACCTTTGACCGATCTTGTCGTCCGTGATCCACTTTTCATCACCAGTTATCGGCTTCTTCAAAAATGGTTCGGTTTCATTACGAAGAATTAAAGAATCACAAATGAGAACACGATTCATTAGGTTTCATTTAGTGAGCTCGTGAGGTACCCAAATAACCTGCTTTTTTGTGCACCCAGCTTTATTCCAATGCGCCAAAACTGTTTTGTGGTCAATCACGAGTTTTTCTTTTGAAGTAGGTTGAGAGCTTAAACATAATGAAAAGTTCTTGAATTATTTGTCACATTTAATAAACTTTTGGAATTCGGATTGACATATTTAATAAGATATATTTTATTAAGCGTCATGTATTTCCAAAAGCATACATGAATTAATAAGGTTAATATTATCTGCTCTATGCGATATCAATGGTACAATCAAGCACATAGCAGGCACTTATGTGCTAATCTAGAGTCAGCATGCCGCTAGTTAATACATACATAATAAGTGTGATTACCTAAGACGGAGCCTGGAGCAACGGTAGCCGAGATGTGCCAATCTTTTCCTTATTGCCGCCTGACTTACATGCCGCTGGAAAAACAAATTTAATATTTTGATATAATTATTTCTTCACATTTGAACTCAATGGTTTTGAAAATTTATTTACACCTTACAGACTACACGAATAAGATGCAGCGTTCAGAGTGCTGCTAGTGAATGGTTTTATTATTTTATCCATTGGAAATTAATTATGTGATATAATTAAATAAATAAATATTATATCATATTATCATCAGCCCTTTTACGTCCCCACTGCAGGGGTTCAAGCCTTCCTTATGGATGGTCAAGGAGGATGGGCCATAACCCTCCACGCTAGCGCAATGTGGATTGGAGGGTATTAATGACTGCAAATGCAGCCGGTACCAATAGCTTAACGTGCCTTCTGATGTACGGGGTAGCTCAAGACAATAATTTTTGATCACCCATCCCGTGACCGACCCTTGCAAAAGTTGCTAAACAACAACGATCGCAGGTCGCAGTGCTTATCCACTATACCACCGAGCTACTCATATATCATATAAATATTATAATAATTTTAAATGTTAAACGATGAAGTAACCTATAAGTAACTTTTATTGTTGGAAAGAGGAGAGGGAAAACCTGCCATATCGCAATAATGGGTTATATTAGCAATAATACGTAGGATCAGATTTCATATAGAACGGACGCCGGGCGCGCCGCACTTTTTTGAAGATAGAAATTCACAAAAAAAGGGGAGATGCAGATGCCCTTTTCTAACCTCTTGGCTACGGGTATGGGTATAACCAGGCTAAAAACAAAAGTCTGAGTGAACTTCATCTCAATTGGTTTAGGTTGATTGCTTCAAAATATAATTTGAGTACCTATATTAATCCCACAATAACTGTTCTAACATACGCAACAACTAATATAATTGTGAAGCTTCCTCACTCACTATCTACACGAGCTGTTGCGCCCATAGACAAATTCAATCTAATATCACTATATCAGCATCATATAAACCAAGCGTTAAACTTTCGCGTACGCAATATACTATTAAAAGAAGTCAACGCACCCTCATGTAGGTATGTGCAGTGTAATAACAACAGCTACTGTTTACCGGCCGACCGACAGCGACACAACCTGCACATGATAATACGCCACTTAGAAAAACTGCGGCCCGGATTGTGACACCACTAGAGTTGTTATTACCGTATCACTGACAAAGACAGTAAATCAATTTATGATTACACGTTTCATTATCTGTTAAATAAATACTTAATTGATGCTTGCGAATTATTTATGCGGTTTCCAATGTTTTAATAAACGTAACAAAGATATTAAGATCATATTTTGTTTTTGATAGGACACCTTAATCAAAATTTATTTTGATATAAAATTCTATATAAGCTATTTCTAGGATCTCGATAGCGCAGTGGATAGCACGCAAGTTGAGCCATTTTCGGAAAGGCAGTTAAAGGGGGGGGGGAACCTCAAATTTATTCGAGCTTCTCCGTCGTCAGCTACAAGCCGTTGGCACTGACTGAATTTGAAGACTCATCAATTCATGTACAGAGAAAGTCTGTGAGAACATTCATAGGCTGATTATGACGAATGTCTATCTAATCTGATATTAGTGTAATATTATTGACGTCTCTATGCAGACTTATGCCCCACGCGAGGATTCCAGGTGCTCAAGAACCCATGTTATTAGATAACACTGTATCCGAACGAGAAGCAGTAAATCTCAACGTGAATAAGCCCGACACGTATCCAAACACTATTTTGCTCACAATGAGTTATTGTTTGAGCCAATCTCCATACATTAAGTTCGCGAGACATGACACGAGATAATCTGCGCGACAAAGCCGCCGTGCCCCTGCTGTTTAGATAAAATTATTGTAGACGACTATTCTAAGTAATAAAAGTACGTTTATACAACTATGATTTACTATTATATGTTTATAGAGAAGTTAATCATTATTATCGAGAACCGTCCATTCAAAAGACTCACATCCATTAAAAATAAATATATATTTAATGATGTAGATTTAACTATCTTCTGATTATAACAACGACATAAAATGATACGTAAATCTAATATTGAACAGTTAGTGAATAATCAAAAATTAAGTTTTAATGACGATAAATAAAAGTATGAAAACTATACCATATTGCTGAGTGGAAAAAAATCCTCTATAATTTTATTCTCATAATTTGATATCCTTTTCTTGTAACTTAGTCACAAATTTGTGTTTATGAACGAAACCTACATTTGAGGATATATCTGCACTAAACGATTTAAAAGGTTTTTCCTTTTTTTGTTCCGCCTTTTTTATAATCACATTGAACGTTCTCCCTGCGGATAATATTACTTAAAAACCACCATGACATAAATAATAAAAAAAAAGCAAAATTGACGTCTTTTATTAAATATTTAAATGAAAACGCATCTTACACGATATTAGAAATTATACAAAATGATAACTCAGGGTCGGTTTACATCTAACGGGAGATCCGTTAAGCATCACACGGAAATATGAGATAACACGCGACGGTTCTTCCGTCCGTAGCGTGCAATGTTCAATGTTACGTCTTTTGTCGATTCTTTTACAATAAAGGCCTTTCAATAACAACAAATGGTCTAAAATGATACATAATGTTATTAAATTTAATGTATCAAAACACTCTCTAAATCATTGTCGAAACGCTGTCACGTCGTAGAGATTCGAAGAAATAAAACGTACTTCGAAGAGTATGAAGTACTACAGAACATCATGTCAAGGACAAGTCAAAGACATGTGTTTTAATATGATTTTGTTCACGATAGGCTCACCAAAATCTTTTAAAAGCAAAGAAAATTGCAACGTTCAATTTTAATAAGCGGACATGTACACACTACGTATGTACTGTTTGCACAATAAATGTATAATAATATTTCTAAAGATAGAGTGTAATGAATGATGTAACAACACTGGGATCCTGTTTATTTGTCAGTTGTCCCACCGGACAATAATCGTGGCTTGCGTGCTCTTTGTAAGTCATTTGATATCTGCATAGAGTTGCTGTAACCAAATCTTCAAATATTTGTTTATGAATGTTATTCTTGCAATTATCATTACCCAATGTGATAGTGCAGCTGGATGGAGTGATAGGTCTATGATGTGGAAGTCAAGATACTTTAGCAAAGTCCGGTCATTGAAGTGGTGATCTAAAATTTTGTTATTTCGATGTCATCCGAGCTTCGAGAGACACGTAAAGACGTTGGTCCCGGCTGCATTTGCAGTCGTTAATATCTACCAATCTGCACTGGGTCCGTGTGATCATGGCCTATTTTCCAAATTTATTCGACCTGAGTCTATTCGCAGGGAAGGCACCGGCAGTGGGAACATTATTAGGCTGATGATCATGAATGTAATAATGCTTCTTAGTTTTATTTGATTTAGTTACTTAAATGCGATATATA